AACTAGTTAGAATGACTAGTTAAGTAAATATATAATTAATATGATGGAATATATAAATATGGAATGATTATAGACTGTGTAATTAAAATGAAGTATGGACATTATTAGAGTGGAAGACAGTAAAAATGTTTGTAAAATATTGTAGAGCAATACATTAACGTTCCTGCTTCTTGCACTGAACAAGCCAGCATCAGGTTTTAATAATGAGACAGATCGCTTTGCTCCTCGAATAACCCTCGCATTAGAGTTAACTGGATAAGGGACAATGTATCCGTTATTATATTGGTATTGGCACTGCACTGCGACTGCCGCAGATCCACAGGGACCCAGCTATAATTTTCAATTTCAAGTATTTGTAATTGGACATAAACGGAAAATAATTTATTTATTTAATGGTATAAGGAAATGAATTAAGATTAAAAGTTTACTTAAAAAGACAATAATTCAAAACGAAATATACAGTATATTTTGCTATTCACTGGTTGCCGTCATGCTTGCATTGAAAATTTGAGAAGACAACGTTGAACAAACTGTGGAAGTGATACTTGATTGATATGAGGAAGACAATAAATTCTTTGTTAATTAATTATTGAATACTGGGAATGAAATAAAAACCAATAATAGTTCTATAGTGCTGTAAAGGGTCTGTGTAATACGATTCATTTGCGCCGTTATTATGTGCTAGGTCCGATTACGAGGCTTTTCTTCGTACTCGAGTTGTGATAGCAACGTCGCGTCATGAAGTAAAACTAGATTCAGGCTGCTACGCAACTTTACACTTTTAAACTCAAGAAGGAATAGATAGAAAATTAAACTTGTCATTGTATGTATAGCCCTCCCACTCTATATTGCAGAGTTTGGTTAGGGCCTAGGTGTATTCAGGTCATTAGGACCTTAGTGGAATATTGTCCCTACCCCATGATGCATAGTTTGGTTAGGTTCCTTTGATTTTGTTTAGAGCAAAATGAATTTCCTCGTTGACGAAATAAAATATATTGCATAGAAATTATGCCCGATATGTTCAGGTTTTGGAAGGGGGAGAGAGAAACATTTCATATGTTTGCCTTGCACATAAAATATCCTTCATTTTTAATGATATTTTAGTTTAAATTCAAGATTTTTATAGTAAAAAAACATCTGTGTTATTGATATTCTATAGGTTAATATTATAAAAAAAAATTCTTAAAAGATTTTAGAGATTGCGAAATTAGATGATTGTGGTAAAATGTTATCGTTGACCCTCTGCGGTGGGTCACTATGCCCATCCTATTTTCTCAGCAGTTTTCCTTGTCAGTTCAATTCAAAAGGTCGTACTGTACACAAAACTCATTTACGTTTGTTGTCGTATTGAATTATCATCACCAGTTAAATAGCCAGCAATTTGCTCAAGTCCATTATCTTATCAAACATTCCTATAGCTTTTTGATACATAATGCATAATAAATTTGTAACCTAGACTTCAGTATTTGTATGCAGTGGCAAACCCAGGATTGAATTTAAAAAAAAAACAGAGAGAACCAGGAGATACTTCTACAGATAGAAGGTCTGATACCGCCTCAGTTGCACCATGGTAAAAAATTTAATGGCTATGTTCCCTCTAGATGGCCAGAAATGGCACTCTCTTACTTCATTTGAAATATAATTTCCCTTTTTTTATCATCCTTTTTTCATATTTTTTTAATTTAGGGGGCCCGGTTTGGCTTTCCCCACCCCTCAATCTGCCAATGGTATGGTCCATAAAATATGTACCTTCGGTTAATAGATTGACTTGTTAATTCTGTCTGTCAGTTGTAAGGTATGTTTGTGTTTGTTGCTAGACATATTGAAGCTATTAGTAGGTTTGTAGTAATGTTTTTGTCTCTGGCATCTGCAGACATAAATCTATTCTCATTCCCATGGCCTTGAACTTCTGTGTTGTATTTTCCATGTGATAGTCAGTTACGAACCTAGAAACTTCATCTTGACATTTTAGTAGTCTAGAAATTAGCAATAAACTTGTGAAATGTGATATATGGCCTATTTTTACAGTTTGTAACAAGTGAATAATTGATTTGAATAAACCATTTTGGAGTCTATGTTAAGTCACATAGTCAATAATATAAGACATTTTGTGGAAAAATTGCCAATTTGTAGCAAAAACTTAAAATTCAATTTATTTTCAGATACTGCACGATATGCGGTGTCATTTATCAAGCATAATTTTTAATAGAATTATCTACCAAAAAGATATGAAATAACTTGTTTACCAGATGCCACAGCTAAGATAGGCACTTGATTAATTATATATTTAACTGTTTAGGAAAATTATGATTTGTAGGACAATTTTTGAGCTTCCATATTTTAAAGGTCACTTACTCCATACTTGCCTGTGTGACAACTTGGCCATTTTTCCATGAAGAGCCTCAAACAGGCTGCTTTATACAAATCAATTATGGAATTGTACCTCTTAACATTCAAAATGTGTATCAATTATGGAATTGTACCTTAGCACTCAGTAATTCAGTTATCATTTGGTTCAATTCTAGCTGCCATCGATATGCATTTTACGATATGATACGATACGATATTCTTTATTGTCATTTGAACAACAGGGTACAAATGAAATTTAGCTCCACCTTAGTTCTACATTACCTGGTAGTTCAACGTCTGAGAGTTTTTTTAATTGACAGTAATGTTTCATAGAAATCCAATGTGACAAGAATTGCTCTGCATTTTGTGTTAATGAATTCTTCACCAGAGTGATGTTTGTAAGAGTATGCAGAGGTCGTTTTGAGTTCGAAACTTTCAGAACGTTACACTGTTATCTTTATCCATTGTTACCACTGCTATCGTCATACCATCATCATCATCATCATCTTCATCATCATCATCTTAAATTTAGTTTCCTTGAGATACAATATCAATGAATTATAATAGAATAAAGTAATGATATTGATATTGACATTTAAATGAAATGTCTTCTTACCTAAAAACAGCTGGACATTACTATATTCATCCTTTGTTACTACTGTTTGCATCGTACTAATACCACATCATCATCATCATCATCTTTATCTCCATCATCATTGCTGCGAAGCAGCCAATTCATATTCTTGACAGCAATTTGACCTCTGAAAGGTCATTGTTTGTCAAAAAACGAGGGCCTAAGACAACTGAAAAGCTGAGTTTCCTTCTTTCGTTCTGCCGTGTAAAATCAATTACTTTAGGCGACGACGCAAAACACTATTGTACACGGTACCAACGCTGTTCTAATATAGACAATGGGTCGTGTCTCATATTATTTGTTATATTTTTATTATTCGTTATTATCACCTGACTCGCATAAATAATTTTGTTCGAAGAACATTTATATGCAGTTGTACTTCGCAGCACTTCACTTGCAATTTGAAATTTCTAGTTTTTATCATTATATTTATTGTCCAACCCAAACAGCCCATTATCCTATTGTCATCGGCTTATCAGCCATCAGTCTGTTGTTATTCTTTCATACATATTGTCATCTGCATCCCGTCATCATCATTAATTTATTGTTATCAATACCAATGCCATTAGCGTCTATTCTTACATCATCATATCTTTTTTTTTGTACTCGCACATTCTTTTGTCCTCTACGTTTCCATCAAAAGTCGAAAAAAAATTTTTGCCAAGATGTAGATCTTAGATGTTAAATGCCAAACATATTAGATGTATTGCAAACAGTCCTACTTCATTCCTATAGATTTGGTGCACACTTTAAAGATTGCAGACCATCTTGACCTGATGTTTCATGACCTAGATTATTTACTTAATTGCTTTTCATTTTTTGTTGGCTGACCTATAAAAAAAAAAAGTCATTTACAGGTCTGTAACCCAGAAAACTGTTGGAATTTTAAAGATTTGTATATTAGTAAAAATTTAGTGGATTTAACTTGTCTTTTTACAAATCTTTTTAAATACACAATTGATTTTCTAATTACTTTTTAATTCATACATTGTGCAGTTAATTTCATTTTTAATAATCTTTTTATTTCCCTCATTCGTTTATCTTTCTCCTACTTACAGCAAAACATGGTTTCCTATTCCCACCTTTATCCTATACATCGAGTGTGCTTTAAATAATAGTATTTAAACAAAATAATTTTACAATATACTATATTATTATATAAAGGGGAGGGGATTAGCATTTCAAAAATTTGAAGAAGAATATTATGGCATGCATTTCGATACTTGGAGTATGTTTTATACTATCTTATCGGAGATTAATCAGTGGACCTTTCGGTTAATATTATTTATGATATTATGATAAATACCGATATTAAATTTAATATGGTTTGTCAGAATTTTTGTTGACCACCGTCAGTAGTTCCAAGTGGTCAGCTCTTCACTTCCCCAGCTTGTAGACTTGTTTATAGACCATTGAGGGTTCCAAGTGGTCAACTGTCCACTCTCAAAGCCTCTAAAGAGACTTGATGAGGGATTCTAAATGGAAGAAATAAAGGAAATTCGGTTGTACATCAAGCGTTCTTAATATTGTAAATGTGATGTTAAATTTATTATACACATTATACCAAGTTGTGAAAGTGCTTGAGGTGTGGATTAGCTCTTAAGCCTTGTTCGCACTGGATTTAAAAAATGGTAAATTTAACCAGGGTAACTTTAACCAAAGTCATGGGTACATTTCACCATTGTTCGCACTTGGATTATTCACGCGGTTAGTTTTACCAAGATTTAACCTTGTGTATAAAAAATATTATTGAGGGCGCTAGTTTGTGACTTCAACTTCCGGTTTTGTTTCGAGCGGTGTCAACATGGAAGAAGTTTTAATTGTGTTGCACGTTCGGATTGGACTTCTTGACCAACGTGGTTAGTTTAACCGAGTAGCTCCTGCTTCCCTAATGGTCACTTAGTGCTTGAGCCACACAGTAGTAAAACAGTACCAGCTACTCTCGTCTGTCCACAATAATAAAATACATTGACGCTATTATGATAATACAAATTTTTTGTATTTTTTTATTTTGCAGGGTGATATAGAAGTTGATAGTGAAACGGCTTTTGAACTTGCTGCTTACATCCTCCAAGAAGCACACGGTGATTTCACAACGTAAGTTAATCAAAATAATAATTTATGAGAGTTGTTATGATTGACATTGTAATACAGTAGCGGTGATTATTTGCTTATATCAATGTCGATTAAATTAAACATATTTATTGCCGTTCAGTTACTAAGTTAGTTAAACTTGCTATTTGTATTATTTTCACCTAGATATGTACAGCCGTTCCAACGTAGAACAACGTAACTGCACAAAAAATAACAGCAGTTGCGTGTTTTTGCATGGGACGACCATGCTATTTTTGGAACTATAATGTACTCCTTAATTATTACAGTATGTTCACAGATTGTTCAGTTGGGGTATACTCAGTTTTTCTAAGACTTAACAGTCCCATATCCGAGTGTAATTTTGGTATATTGAGGAGAGCTTGGGAAATTGAAAGTTTGGAATATTCTTCAGGAAAGAAATGAGAAAATTTTGAAATTGATGTTTTTCAGCATATATCTTGTATTATCATATGAAACCGTGTTCTTCATTGGTCAGATTTCTAACATTCTACGTAATTCAACCAATTATAGTCTCTGTTATTTTTCTATATCATTGCCAGTTGGGGTAAGCTCAGTTGTTAGAATTAAATAGCATTTTGTTAATTATTTGCATCAGTTCACGAGCATTTCAAGGAATTAATGAAATCAGACTAGACGAGTCAGGTGTATGTACATTGTTTTCACTTTATTTATTCTGCTGTATAATGCACTTCATTCATCTCATCCGCTGACTCTTGGATCAATGAATTATATAAACATTTCAACTCGTGGACAATGTTAATGGAACGACTGCGCAGCGGGGGGAAGCTTCGTAAATAAGCAAGAAGGATGCATTTGTAGTACAGTAAGCCTCTTGAAGCGGCGGCCATTGAACAATAAAGGCCTGACTAACTAATTCACCTGTTTGCATATATCCCAGACTGTCAGCAGAGCATTTATTATCAAGAGAACCTAATTGAATACATTACCTATTAGGCTTTTTCCCACCAAAGTTAATGAGGGTGATTCAATAGGCAAAGCTAATCATTTAGAACCCTCAGTGATAAGCCAACCAGGTTGCTTTAGGAGGCCTGAGGAATGAGCTGATCTTTTAATGATACTATGATGTCCTTATATAGTACCCTATAAATAAATGACTTTAATAATAATAATAATAACAACATTAGCTGGATTTATATAGTGCTTTGCACCGAAGCCTCAAAGCGCTCGAGGTGTGGACTAGCTTGTACAATAACCAATAACTTTCTTCTCTCCTAATGGCCTTTTCGTGTATGAGCTACCCAGTAAACTGGTGCCATCTACTCTCATCTGTCCAGGGGCTGTGTGGACTAGTACACCGGTGTAACCCCCCCCCCCCTCATCTTAAAAGATGTACTGGGTTCTTTAAAGTGCACTTGAACCAATTGTGTACCGTACACTGGGCCTATGGTTTGTAGTCCTTATCCGAGAAGACTTTTTCCACCTTTAGAACCATAGGCTAGCATGCCTTTTGAAACAGCGCCGATATAACGGCTGTAGGTTGCGGCGTCCCTACATTCACAACTCATCCATTCGACTTCCCATGCAAGTATAGTGAATATAACGTCCAACTTAAAGTATACTGGAAAGTTTTAAATAGTAGTCTGCTATAGTAACACTACAGTATGTAAAGCTTGCAAGCTACAGCAATTGTAATCACTTTTTGTTAATCTTTGCCTTCTTTAGTTACAACCTTTCTATAATTTCAGTTTTGGTAATTTTTTTGGTTTGTGTTATGTTATGTACCAAATTATGACTATGAAATTTTAAATAAATTAAATGAATGCAATTTAATTTTTTTTTTTTTGGACCTAATAATGTATGTTCAGTTTCATGTGAAATAGAATTGTTATGATCTGATATTGTCCCAACTGATCGTTCACATTTTCTCACATATTGCTACTAGATGTCTAACGACAGTATAGATAGTACATAGTCCCGTTTGTTTGCATACAGTATTCCTGAATAAATAATTGTCATATCCTCTCTTGTAAAACATAAATTGCCCGATGGAACCATATGGGTATGCATTGTACATACTGGGTTCGTAAGTTAAGGTCATTCTAAAGTCAACATTCGACAAAGACTCGTCAAGTGTAAATTAGCATAATATAAAGCTAAATCCTCTAAATTGATTGAATATTCTGTAGTAATGTGTCCTTGACTAGCATATACCACATAAAGAATGTGCGCCTTTCTCAGGACGATGAGTTTTTAGCACTTCGTTGACTTTCAGACATAGTTTTTCTGATTTATTTGTTTAGTTTCTAAAAAAAACCAATGAATAAAAACACCAAAAAAAAAAATCAGGTACTGTTATTACCATGCACATACTTGGATTTATCTTGGAGCCTCAGTGGATTTACGACGAAAATTATTAGGAAAGATCTTGTTGCAACAGTTAATGTTATCAATTTAAAGAAACATGTTCTTGTGCATTTTTGACGCAAGATGTATTTCCCTACGGTGCTATCAACATCAGTTCATGTTCACTCTGTTCTCCTTAAAACAAAACCAAAATTTATGGTGGTCTGTTTGTTAGGTACTAAATGAAAGGGCGTCATGTATTATGGAATTTAAACATTAGGTCTTTTAAGTTGGTTTTATTAAGTAATTTATAGAACAGTTGGCATAGTACCCTTTGGCAAAGCATTTTATTTCATTGTTTCTCCACCCAGGAACCTGGTAGGATACGGTACATGAATATTCTATGTACAGTATTTAGCATTTGATATGAGTAGACAGAGAGTAAAAGTCGTATCACAACCTTTTCTATCAGTTGGTTAGCCATTTCGATTTTCAGTGAGCACTTCTTGTCTACGAGACCTCTCTTAGAGCACTTCTTGTCTACGAGACCTCTCTTAAATTTCATGTGACTTTTTAAAAGAGTATGTGATATTTCATGAGAGTTATTAGTAAAAAGGGCAAATCTACGAAGCATAGATAAGTTGCAGTATGAAGATAGCTTGTTATATGCTTTGAATGTTTTGCCTATTTGCAATCAGAAAAATGATAGATAAATATTAATTTTATAATACCTTACTTTCTCAGAAGCCCAATTCTACATGTACCAGCCTTTCCTCTGTCTCTTATACACATCTAGATGTGTATAAGAGACAGATAAATGACTTTAATAATAATAATAATAACAACATTAGCTGGATTTATATAGTGCTTTGCACCGAAGCCTCAAAGCGCTCGAGGTGTGGACTAGCTTGTACAATAACCAATAACTTTCTTCTCTCCTAATGGCCTTTTCGTGTATGAGCTACCCAGTAAACATGCTTTGAACATTATATTAACAGTACATCATATTTTATATTTCTTTCAGTGACATAAAAGCACAAACTCAGCTGAAGAAGCTACCAGTCTTACCAACAAAAGCACTGCAGGAGCATCCATCCCTGAGCTACTGTGAAAAAAGAGTTTTGTTTTATTACAGAAGGTTAGAAGGCCTAAGTCGTGGACAAGCTATTGTTTGGTGAGTCAATCAAAACTCAATATGATTTTTTTTAATTGCGATTTAAACAATACAGAAGTTTATTTGGAATACTTTTTTGAAATTTTATCTAGTCATATATCATCAAAATGACGTGTCTAATACATTGGCGGTGAAAATATTAGGGGCGAGTGAACTCATCGACAGCACTTTGATAGCACTTTTTATTGACTCTGCCAAGTGCGAGTTATCTCGTCCGCTTTTTGCATTGGTTGATATATGTTCAAAAGGCGCCCCTACTTGTGCCGCTTGAGTGTACTACCGGCAACATGAGACAACATACATACATCATTTGTACGTTATCATCTAGGTGTATCTTCGCCGAACTACCAGTTGTTGAGTCTCTACAATGTGTAACAAGAAGTTATAAACGCTGGAATGTTACCCCGATTTTGATGAGTATGCTTGCTCGTCCCTAGCGCCCTCAGGAACACTCAACGTGTTAACATAGCTCATTTCATGAGATCTCCCAAAAGTTTCTTCTACCAACTATAGACCCCTGTATACAATAAATTTTCATTTTCCGAAGTTACTATTAAAAGTGCCTGCTTGGTACAGGAAATTCCGGAAGGGATCTCTGAATTGGCATTATACATAGCTTAATCGTGTGTTGAGTAATGATGCAACAGAGTTACAGTTACGACAATGAATTGCAATATAAAGATTTTGTAACAGCCAATTATGCATTAGTCTTCATGGATATTACCTGGTATTAAAAATTTTTATTACCTTTAAAAAAAAAATATCCTGGTACAACTTTAAGCAACTAAGTAAATGAAGGACATAGAACAGTATTGTGACATTGAACAAAAATAAAAGTACAGATAAAACTTATTAAAATTTAATTGCAGTTACATTTTTTAGGCAACAATATAGAAGATGAACTTTGCAATGCTAGGGTCAGTGACCTTTCAGAGGTTTTTGCAAAGTACAGTAAATCGAATATCTCTTTAGGATACGTGTGCTGAGAATGTGTGAGTACGTGAGTAGTCAATATGCACTGCATATTTATAATTAGAATCGCTGCTACTAACAAAATGCAGTAATGATCGATTATACTAAATTATATGTAAAATTTTTGATTGAATTCAGTTCCATCTTTAAAAGAATTTTCACAGAATAATTTGAAAAAACAGGTCACCAGTATTTCATTATGCCAAGATATTTTCACAAGAAAGAGTAATTTTTGAAAACTATTAAAACACACTTGATTGATGATGATAATCGTCGTAATGATAATTTACTTTTAGATAAAATTATGTCATTTTACTCGTTACTTAAATGGTGAACTCAAAATGTTTGAAATGTTGCGGAATGTTTTCAGTTTATATAGGCCATATATCGATGGTTTTAATTAAAATTAGTCGAACTAGAATTTTGAAAAAAAAATTAACTATCAATATGAAAACGGACACTTCTGACAAATTGGTTTTTAATTTGTGAGATAAATTGAAGCTCCGATGGTATCAGGTTATATAATAGTTGACCTTATTTTCCATACTCTGAATGGAAGTTTGAAATTTGAGACACGCTTATACAATTTATTGTTATCGATAGTTACATAATTGTTATGGAATGTTTGCTAAAGATTTTGTTGGAGATAAGTATTGTTTATGATGAACTATTTATTAATTTTTTATTTTTTCTTTGCATTTCCGTCATTTATATTTTCACTGTCTTGCAAAGAGAGTATAGTGCCTCTTAAAAACGGTGTTATTCAATTAAGAGGTTATTCTAAAAATAATGAATTAATGTATTAAGTTAGAAACCTATACAATTTTCTAAATTCCAGTCATTTTCAATTCAATTAGTAGTTCGTGTATAATCTTATATTTTCTTAATCTCATAGATTGCAGTGTGCCATTTTTTTTTTTAATTTCTTTTTTCATCTTCCTGGTTGTTGGTGTAGTAATTGCTGCTCAGGTATAGGGATGATGGTATAAATGAATAAAAGTGGGTTATCCCCACATGAAGAGAAAAAAAAAGGAATGATGGTAGATAGATTTGGGTTAGTCTGGTTGACGTATACATTAAAAACACTGGTAGAACTTTATAGGCTAACTAAATTGTTTATTACACAAGCTTATGCAAGTAGTCTATGCTGATGTTAGATCTTGTGTCCAACATCACCCCTTCCCCTCCCCCTCCATCCCCCGGCATTGATAGTGGTGTTTGGTTATTCTGCATTGTAATGTAATATAGGTGGATTTATATAGCGCTTTATACCGAAACTCTCAAACCGGTCGATGTGTGGACTAGCTCATACAGTGACTTCCTTATAAGGCCAAAAAAAAATTGTTTGTTTGCCCTCCTCCACCCACTTTTTGCCAGATGCCCTACGAATTAGTCTAAAGTTGTCTGATATAAAATATTGCAATTCTAATCCTCTGTGGGTTATTTTTATTCCATATCTGAAATATATCCTGTATGGGATACAAATAAATTACAATTTTAGATTAATAGTTCTTACAGTTTGTCTACAACCCAATTACATAAACGAGAAATTTATCGCCAAAACTAAGCCAATTTTACAATTAGTTTCTACATTACACATGCAGTGTACATGTTCAATATAGCATAAGCTGTTACTGGACATAATTTATTCTATTTTATTTAAATTTTCATTTTGAAGTAGAGCCGAGATCCATGACCCATCATTTCCTACATGTTGTAGTTTACTCGTTTATAAGCTACATTTCCATTTCTAGACATCTGTCGTCATTAATGGAATTTCAGCAGCTAATGAGTTTGACTTGAAATGCACAAGTTTAAGATTGAATCCAAGGAGAAGAATGTTGCTAATTATAAAGAATATGCCTCGTAAATTCAACAATTTATTTTAAAAATTGAATCTGTACAGTAACTGTCTGTTTTACATGCCATCATGTTGTTAAGACAAACACCGGAGACAAAAAAATATTTCTTTAATTGACTGTTTTCTTTGGTTCTAGAAACCGAACTCCTCAAATAGAGCTGTTTTTTTGTGTTCAAAAAATGTTTCTGAAACAGAATTTCACTTAAATTCTTTGCCATGATACGTATTTTGTGTTTTTTGTCAATGGAGAATTAATTATCTATGCATCTTTTTGAATAAAATCAATACACAAACTGGGAGAATTTTTATGGCTTTAGTATGGCCCATATTGTATTTTTAAACCACAATATTAGGGATTAGCAATGAAAATATCTTTATTTGGATAGGCAAATTATTAATTACAAATGCCCTCCAAGACCCCCGCTGGCACCACCATTGCTTATAGTATGGTTGAACATGGAATAAATTAAACATTTATAAGCATACTTATATGGAAGGTCTTGTAGCACTATAGATAAAGAACAAATATTTAGGTGAGTTTTTTTTATACTGTCAAAATGGAAACATAGAAACGTAATGATGTAGCTCGTACCTTAGGGAGTTCAGCGGAAATGAAAGCCCTGTGAGATGTAGAACTGGCCAGGTTAGCCTATATGGCATTTTTAGTATGAATGTACAAGAAGATAAATGAAAACAACGATCAGACTGATAAACACAAATGACAGTTTTGCTGGTGAAAGCACAACCCAGGAAATATTGATACTAAAAATGTCTCTACTGTGATGAAGTCTTTAAACAGAGGAATTATTTTACTTACTAAGGAGTCTTTCACAATTATCAACATTTTCACAAGTGTACAAAGTGTACGCTAGATGGAGAAGGTAGACAAGTTTGTGCACTTCTACGTATGCATTAAAAATTTTGATTCAAAATAACATGTAATATTTGTTTGCAACCACATACAATACATTAGTGGAGTTCACATACAACATGGAGAATACTTTTTGTAAAATCAAAATTTCATACGCTTCTAGAAAGGAGGAAGGGTGTACCGAAAAACAGTAGTGTTTGTACACTTATGAAAATGTTGATGAATGACCCCTGAACTCCAGTAAAAAAAAACAAAAAAACGAGCAGCTGAATTGAAACTTTTTGAATTGCATCTGTGTAAAAATGATGTCATATCGACCACACACTTTCTAACAACTATTTGTTTTTAGAGTCTCAATTAAGTTGCGTTACATCCTGGATAATTTGATTTTCAGTACAGACCATCAGAATCTGGGACTGTTTTGTTTGTTGTTAAAGTTAAATTTAATTAGCATTTCATGCTTCAAAAATTAAGTACAGTATTGTAAAGAAGTAAACAATTGGCTTTTTGTTTCCATAATCAAAGGAAACCACAGAATTTTTGCAAGATTACTAATAGTTTTGTTTATGGTTCCCCATTTCTTTAGGTAATCAATGTCTGATGTTGCTATTTTAGGGACTCGAATTAGATTCATGGGTGGTAAATTTTCTGCTGGCGATAAAAACCATAGACTGTAACCGCAGACACTATATTTAGTTACAGTACAAGACATTTATTTTCAATATAATAATCAACAACATGTTGTTAAACAGCTTTAAAATTCTGATTATGTTCAGCATCATCATTATCATCAAAATCATACCCATTTCTAAAACAATCATCATTTCTTCGTCATCATGACATAATAATCATCAACATATCATCATCATCATCATTATCACCATAATCACATCCTCTTTATCATTACCATCATCATATTCAACATCATCATTATCTTATTATTATCATTTTTGAAGTGGAGTTGTATAGATTAGTTGGTTAAGATGCCTGCTAATACTAGGCTTATTTCCTATGAAAGCAGGTCTTTCTCAAGCCTGAAAACAGCTAATGAATTCAATTCAATAATCATGATTATAATTATCGTCATTATTGTTATTCATCATTTGCCATCGTCATCATGACTATTCATCATTGTCGTTGTCGTCATCATTAGCACCATCATTATCATCATCAAAATGATTATAATAATATATCAAGTGCTTGCGGTACACCACGTAGATAGTTCTAAAAAAGAACTATTGTTTTGTTGAGAATATCTCATCAAAATTTATATTTCCATTAAGTTGCTTTAATCGTCATAAGGAAAATTATATACTG